TTGGGTTTTCAACAGACTCATAAGCGCTGGATATACAAAAACAAGGTCGCCTAAAAACAACCAAACACGACAACAACACAGATAACCGATTATCTCAAGAAGATTGCTATGTAAAGAGATTCCCGTTACTTCATACTGTAACCACTGTAACTGCGACGCACTAAACAGAAAACCAATAGGTCACCGTTTTTACCTCATTACATCACGCTATAGACTAAACGTCTTAAATTTCAGCGTACGCATCCGCGACAACGACCAGTCAGAAAAATCTCTCCGAAAATATAAAACACACTGTGTCGCCACTTTATTCCATGGAGTTCAAGTATGCAAACTAGAGTTAAAGATCGCCAGTTTCCCTATTTTCATCGAACTACCACAAACCTGATTCGATAATTAGATCAACTGAGATAACACCGCGGAGCCACCAGCATTCGAGAAGCAACTATCTGATTTCGGCAATGTGAGGTGATAGCCGTGTGAAACAACACACAAAATGGAACTTGCAGAACAATCAGCGTAGACTACTTGTTTGCTGGTTGACGGAAACCACATTGACGTCATCGCTACCCACACATTGTTTAAAGCCAACAAAGATTTTTGTGAGCATGATTTCTCAAAAAGATTTCCTGATTCCCATTACCAGCTATCAGTTCAGTTTGTTTAAACCATTAACGAGGCATTTTCGTGCGCCAACTTTGGCTACTTTCATTTGGCTGCCCATTTGAACGAAACAGTAGGAGAAAGACAAGAAAATTAAAGTAGATTCGAAGAGAAAATGGAGAATTTCAGTGGACTGATTGAAGAGAAATCAAGATGCGCGAGCGTCATTTTTTACGACAGTATATTTAACTATCGATTACGATCATCCCGGAGTTCACAGCCAGAGAGCCTAACGGGACCTATGTGATCCAAACCCCTGGTCAGGGTTTACATACTCTTGGATCACTTTCTGTTTTGACTAACCTTCGTTTTTTCCCGCCCATTAGCTGCCTCGGCAAACATCGCTCGCCGTGGTAACCTATCTGGTGACATGCGCAACACGTTCTAAAAACGTAATCTATGAAGATCGAATATTTGCTCCAGTGGACGACGCGATTACCCCAAACTCAACGCCTAACCTCAGCATCGTTTATCCCATGTAATGCTGCGTAGACAGCGGTGTTCAAACACCAACATTCTATTTTATCCTGTTTCCTTAATGGTCAAGTTCCGGAATCGTACACCAGAAAGGACCGAACTGCTGCATCATACATACAAGTCCCAGATAGCCTGATGTCGTGCGGTTCCACAGATGTCTCAATTTGGAAATGCCGATCGAGCCTTCTGTATGTGAGCTAACACTTCATCCGTGATGCGCCTACCGAGTGATTATATAACAAAACTTGTCCACTTGTCCTATTACTTCCCCATTTAGAGTGAAGCAAGTGGCTGGACCAACCCAATCTTGCAGCAGTATTTTACACTTTTAGGGTGCAAAACGCATACCAAACANNCTCAAACTATCCACAAAAGCTTGCAACTTACCTACATCTTCACTTAGCGGCACAATGTTGTCTGCACACTCCAGATCAGACAGTCTGCCATCTGGGATCAAATCGATGCCGCTACCCTCGTAAGAGGATAGAGCTGTTTCCATCATCAAATCTATAACAAATTTAAATAGAAAAGAGGAGGGTAACCCTGACGAGCACCGCTTTCTGTGGTGCATTCCAGCGTAAAAGTACCGTAAACTCGGATTCGGTCTAGGCTATTTGTATAAAGGGATCGTAATATTGAAATAAACTTCTCGCGTACACCATTCAGA